AGATCACAACATTATGGTTTACTATAACACTAGTTTGTAGTGTTATTTTAAAGCGTTACAATGTATAGCTCATAGTTTAAAGGTTATATTGTTAGAGTTTATAATGTTAGAGTATGCTCTGTGAGTTTACAATTTGAAAGTTTGTGAACGTGCCCTATTCTCGTGGGACCCGACACGAATTTGGAAATAATTGCTATGATCATGTCTGAGCTTGGATGAGCGACTAATGTTTACTTTGTTTAATCATAGCTGTGTGTAGGTTAGTGCCATCGGTGCTTAGTGAATACTACTCATGAATGAACTCATACTTCTATCGGATATAAATTGAAATCATGTTGGTAGAACAAGTCGCCTGCCTTTTCTAGACGAATTGTTATCTTCAAGTGTGTCCGTAAAAAAACTGCTAAAATACACAGCATAGGGAAGGCTGCCTTGTTGGGGAGATGTAGTTTGGGTAAGGCGCTGTGGCTGGGTGATGACACGGATTCTGAAACAATGGAGTTAAACACTCGCTGCTTGGCCCCGTCGACAGCAGCGAAGACTGTCATATACCGCCCCATTTACGAGTTGGCTGTACAATGTGTATAGTTGAAGGTGTTAAGTGTTGTCTTCTTCTAACAGCTACTAACGTGCGTGTGTTGTCTGTTTTTAGGATTTGCCCATTGATGTTGTTATTTTTATTGCGGCGTTTTTTTGTTGAGTTCTGTCACTTGAGTGTTACATGAACAGAGTGCGATTATTATACGACCACACTGTGATTCTAATGCTTCTAATGATATTATAATACCTTACCTACGTTTATATGGTTATAATTTAAAACACTAGTTTATAATTGTTTAATGTTTAGTGTTATCGTGTATAGTATTACAGTTTACATGTTATAGAGTACAGTTTATCCCCGACATACTTCGGGATTTGGGACTGGTACGTTGATGAACGATTAACTACGAGGACCTTTCCCCTCAAGGAACACGTGTTAATCGGGTAGACAGCCAAGATGCTGCCGGTTAAGGGCACACTTGTGTGATGGAGATCCTCCACCTGAAATTCTTTGAACATGTTTTTGCTAGGAACATTATACAATAAAGAACTGACAAACATTTGTTAAAATACGTTTTTATTCATCTGCAATAATTTTACGTCAAAACTCGAAGGCAATATTTATTACGTCCTATGTTCACACATTTCCGGTAGAATGCAAACCATTTCCGTACAGGAATACCAAAGCGTTAAAGTTTCATTCCCCATGATTTCCTTATTAGTTCACCACACTAGCAGTCGCCGCCCGCTTCGCGGGCGGTGTGTATGTGCTTGGTTGGTGGGGAGTTGAAAGTGGCTGGAAACAATAGACATGTTTTGGTGATTGTTTTATGTTTATTTTTGTGAGGTTATATGTATTTTTATGGGACGCTCAATCGACAATATTAAAGAATGCAACTTATTCAAATAAAGAATGCAACTTATTGAAATATCTGTCGATACACGATATTCTTCGTGTACACTCCGTGTTCCTCCTCGTCGTCAGGTCCCTCAATAAGCGCCTTGATGTTGGATCTTGCCGTGACTCGCGATGGTGCCACGTACAGTTGGCCGTGCGAGAAGCATGGCGTTGGTAGATATAATCCCAGGTTGTGAACAGTTTGCCCTTGCGCCTTGTTGATGGTCATCGCGAAGGCTGGGACAATGGGGAACTGTTTGCGCCGAAGTCGAAATGGGAAGTCCTTCGTGTCCAATTCGCGGCAGATATGGTTGTTCTCAAGCAGCGAGTCCAAGACCAAGTGTGGGTACTCGGAAAGCTGCGGGAGGTCGTCAAAGTCCTACAGAGCCATCCCACCTGCCGTGAGGAACTCGTGGAGGCTGTGAAGGGTCTTGAACTTTACCATTTCTTTTATTTTCTTTGATGCTGCTAATCCAGCATAATGCACGGGTATAAGTAGTACTAATCACATACCTGCATTTCCCATATCCCCTCCCTTTGATGCTGCTAATCCTGCATAATGCACGGGCATAAGTAGTACTAATCACATACCTGCATATCCCATATCCCCTCCCTTTGATGCTGCTAATCCTGCATAATGCACGGGCATAAGTAGTAGTAATCACATACCTGCATTTCCCATAAATATGCTAAATTCCTCTTGATATGCAAATTATTTTGTCAAGGCGCCCTTTCCCCCCCTTCCAACCAAGCTTATATATATGCTCCAAGCACGTGTGCTGTTTCATTCAGACGCTGTCGCCTCGACAGACCTGGTTTTCACCTGAGGACGGCTGCTTGCGTTGTGGCCGAAACGTCGTGAGAATTATTTTATTATGTTATAATTTTTTTATTTTATTACTTCCCTTCTACGTGACTTGACCGAAAGAAGCTAGAAGATTTACCATTTCTTCTTTGTTGGTCACCTGGCGGTTCTGGTACTCGTAATCGCGAGCCAATTCGTCGTAGAATTTATCCCAGAGAGCCTTCGTATCTGCTGGCATGGAATACAGCAGAATCGTAGCGAAGAGTTGACGAAGCTGGTACGGCATCTGAAAGAGCAAGGCTTCTACCAGACACGCAACCCATTCGCGATCGCTCTCAAGGTAGCCTGCTCGCATGGCTGCTTCCAGCGGTTTGTTTTGTTTTATTTTATTCGTAACGCACCATCCATATGCGCTCCACCATCCACCATGCTTTGCATCGCAAAGACACAGCTCCGGTGTGCATCAGCGTGTGCGCCATCCACAGTGACATTGGTCAGCAATTGCACCGTTCCAATCGCACACAGGTTGGCCCCTGCATCCTCTGTCTGTATGTACACACAGACAGATCTGCTATGGGGCCACCTATTTGTATTTTGTTGGTGTTTTTAAGTTTACGTATTCCCATTGTGGGTGTTTTACGCATGCATTAGATTTTTGGGTTCCTCACATATGGTATCAGAGGTGTGGGTCACTCCATTTCTCAATCTAACAATAACGGGGATCGTTTCAGTTATGCCAGCTTGCAGAGAGAAACATTGCATGATCGTATACTAATAATGACAGAATTAGTACCCCAGTGGAGGGCATCCCCCACCCGGCGCTTCTTACCGGTACTGTGAGACTTAGAAATCCAGACCTCTCCTCCTACTGAACCGTTCACAATACCCTGTGGTAGTACCATAATCATCTCAAAAAAGCGATCACTTTCCAATGGCCATTTTGATCCCGGGAGTTATCCGGGTGGTGTCGCACTGTACTCATTGTCTTAGCATGTCGCAAATTCCGATATGGCTTGTGCAACGGCCAGAGAGTGACAGCGGCGGGGGCCGGGCTGCAACCTTTTTAGACAGTTTATTACATTTCAAAGTGCATGGGATTGGCACTCCAAAACATGATAAATGTACAGTAATGCCAACTGCATCCGTGCCAAACATGATACGCGGACACATGCTGCATATTATGCAACACATGCCCTTACCAGCAGCAGCATGCACAACATCGCAATTACACAACCGAAATAGACAGCAAGCCGTCCATGGAGACGTGATCAACGTCAATACATAATAATGGTAATAAGCCGAATAAACCAAAAAGTAGCCATTGTACCCATCAAACAGTCAGCTGGGTTGCCCCATGGGGGTATTGACCCATGGGCGAAACTGTAGGGGTGCGCTACGCAACTGGCCGTGGTCCCGGCAGGTGAAGCTGCCAGCTCAGTCCGCTAAGACTTACTGTATAGCCACCCCTGCCTACTCGTAAGGTAAAGTTGTTTGGGGACTCCACTAATCGCAGCACGCAGCACCCATTTTTTACATAAATAAACGTAATATTAGCGTAAATACCATTCGCACACTTGCATACACACCACACTCACACAGCGCAGGGTCTGCGCCCACAGTGCACTGCAGCACTGCGGCGCAGACCTTGCCAGACCTATGCTATCGCTCTCTTCCGGGCGTGTTAATTATTTATTTTATCGAATCAAAGTGAGCTGTGGCTTTTTGCCGGCTGTTTTATTTTCGTCGAACCAGAGCGAGCTGTTTGGGCGGGTCCGTAAATAAATTAACGTCCAGATACGCACGCAGACGACCAAACCAGCGTAGTTGTTTAAGATATGTGCATGTAACATGTATGCATGTAACATGTATGTATGTAACATGGTACATGCATGTATGTAACATGTATGTATGTAATATGGACGTGCGAACCAAGGATGTGATATGTGAAACGGAAGGTGCAGGATCAGGATGGGATTAAAATTACTTGATTAACACTTTGGTGGTATTAGGATCAAGCTGTCCACTGCGGGATGAATGTTCCATCTCAATGGAATCAAATAACAATATTCAGTATGAATATGTTCAATAATCGCACAAACCCAATATTAGCCCGTGAAATTATGAATCGTTGCAATTGTAATGACTTGTTTGATAAAAGTATTTAATCAAAGTTTGTTATCCCATCACGGAACACCACTGGAACTGAAGCATATTAAGCAGCAACAGCAGCAACAACAGCAGCAGCAGCAACAGCAGAAGCAGCAGCAACTGCAGCAGCAGAAACTGCAGCAGCAGCACCAACTGCAGCAGCAGCAACTACAGCAACAGAAGCAACTGCAGCAGCAGCAACTGCAGCAACTGCAGCAGCAGCAACTGCAGCAGCAGCAACTGCAGCAGCAGCAACTGCAGCAACACAAGTCTGACATTAACCGGCAACGTCTTGGCTGTCTCCACCATCAACATGTGTTCCTAGAGGGGAAAGGTCCCTGTTATAAATAGTTTAGCAACGTTCCTTTCGCTAATTCCGAAGTATACTGGAGATCACTTGTACTCTAAAACATGTAAACTGTAACGCTTTAAAGAGAGCATTAAACATTAAACGAATATAAACAAGTTTAAGCGGAGACCATGTACCAGATCGGATTTTGGTTACTGATGTTAGAGTGATTGTATTGCAAGCGTCTGTACGTGCTCACTCCCGAAGCTTGGCAGTTTTTGGCAACGCCACGGGGCTGCATTCACTTTAAATCGAGGACAATGGAGGGCATGGCGAACGTGTTTATCCATTTATTCAAAATAAGCGCATAATTACACACTGAGATGCACTTACATATTCATGCATGAAGCACAAAGGGCACATTACCCTTCCGTATGTTAATAGACATGCGGATTGTACCTTCCAAAATTAACAATCGAATGCAAATATCCTGAAAGACAAAGGATTGGATCCTAGGGGGGGGAGTTATAAGGCGGCTCAGAAGCAGAGCTCAATGCCATTTCGAGAGGGAACTTTATGAGGTTGGACGCTCGACTCGTCGCTCTGCTGATCGCCCTTCAACCGCGAGACAACGCAGCCTGGCGAGCACAATTGCTGTGTCGGCAGTTAGGCGACTTTGCGTCGGGAGAGTTCGTGGCGACATCTTCAGACGGGTTCTAGATATCGATATACCGTGAATCTCCAAGTAGGTGTCTATTTTCACGGATAAACTCTTAAACGTGTTCGTCGTCAAATTAGCGGGATTTTTTTGCGTCTCGGTTAGACGCGAGTGTCGTTCTTGTTTTAGCTGTTAACAAAATCCAAAACTCAACGCTAAACATCCTTGCGGCCGATAGCGTACTTTTGACTCGATAACACCGCTGCTGTTACTTCGCTCACATGGAGCAGAGACGCTCTCCACAGCCCCACGTACACGGAGGCAAAAAGCCATTCAATTGCTCTGTGTGTGGGAAGACATTTTCATGGCCATCACATCTTCAGAGACACCAGAGAACACACACGGGCGAGAAGCCGTTCATGTGCCCTGTGTGTGGGAAGACATTTGCACATTCATCACATCTTCAGAGTCTACAGAGAACACACACGGGCGAGAAGCCGTTCCTGTGCCCTGTGTGTGGGAAGACATTTGCACAGTCATCACATCTTCAGAGTCACCAGAGAATACACACCGGCGAGAAGCCATTCCTGTGCCCTGTGTGTGGAAAGGCATTTGCACACTCGTCAACTTGTCAAGACCATCAGAGAACACATACGGGCAAGAAGCCATTCCTGTGCTCTGTGTGTAGGAAGACATTTGCAAAGTCATCACATCTTCAAAGTCACCAGAGAACACACACGGGCGAGAAGCCATTCTTGTGCCCTGTGTGTGGGGAGGCATTTGCACACTCATCAAACATGAACAGGCATCAGAAGGTCCACAATGATAGGAAACTGAAATCAAAAGCTGAAATTCAAGGTGCTGCAATTGGTCCTGAAGAAGTTTCCACATTCGATCCCATGCAGTTGGATCCCGAGAGGTGGCTGGATGTAATGGAGTGGCTCGGGGATCAAACCGAGAGCTCGGAGTGACTGAAAAAATATTATGTCAGGTGGTTATACCTATTAAGCCGTATCGAGTACTTTTTGGTTATAATTTTGACCATTTACAGTTTTTGACGTGCACAGTGGTGGTTTGTAATGTTATCGGATTACTTGCCGAAGTGGTGTGATGAGCACTGGTTGTGAGACTGTTCAATTGTAGTCGTTAAGTGTTCCTGTTGAGCTAAAGTTGGAATGCGTATGTAGGTACATCTTTACTCAACATTTTAAACGTTTTTTTTCAAGTATAAAGCTTTTTTATTGGTATTAATCAACTTTAGATAGCCGATTTCAGGATGTACATTGATTACGCGTTCGTTGGATATATGGCCTTGACTTCAACATAGACCCACAGTGAACAAATGTGGTGAACTAATAAGGAAATCATGGGGAATGATACTTTAACGCTTTGGTATTCCTGGAACGGAAATAGTTTGCATTGTACTGGAAATGTAATAAATATTCCCTTCGAGTTTTCACGTAAAAATGATTGCAGATGAATAAAAACGTATTTTTAACAAATTTTCTTTATTTTATAATGTTCCTAGCAAAAACATGTTAAGCGAGTTTCAGGTGGAGGATCTCCGTCACACAAGTGTGCCCTTAACCGGCAGCATCTTGGCTGTCTACGCGATTAACACGTGTTCCTTGAGGGGAAAGGTCCCCGTAGTTAATCGCTCATCAACCTACCAGTCCCTAATTCCCGAAGTATGTCGGGGATAAACTGTACTCTATAACATGTAAACTGTAATACTATAAACGATAACACTAAACATTAAACGATTATAAACTAGTGTTTTAATTTATAACCATATAAACTGAGATAAGGTATTATAATATCATTAGAAGCATTAGAATCACAGTGTGGTCGTATAAGAATCACGCACAAACCCATTCTTAACTCATGAGATTCTGAATCTTTACGATTTTATAACAATCACAAATTGTAACAAAGCGAAATTCCAACAAGCAAAACACCACGCTCACATGACGTATTCTTAAACAAATTGCAACACTCAAGTGACAGAACTCAACATAAAAACGCCGCAATTAAAAGAACAACATCAGTAGACAAATCCTAAAAACAGACAACACAGGCACGTTAGTAGCTGTTAGAAGAAGACAACACCTAGCACCTTCAACTATACACATCATACAGCCAACTCGTAAATGGCGCGGTATATGACAGCCTTAAATGCTGTCGATGGGGACAAGCAGCGAGTGTTTAACTCCATTGTTTCAGAATCCGTGTCATCACCCGGCCACAGCGCCTTAGCCAAACTACATCTCCCCAACAAGGCAGCCTTCCCTATGCTGTGTATTTTAGCAATATATTTACGGACGCACTTGAAAATAACAATTCGTCTAGAAAAGGCAGGCGACTTGTTCTACCAACACGATATCAAATTTCTATCCGAAAGAAGTATGAGTTCATTCATGAGTAGTATTCACTAAGCACCGATGACACTAACCTACACACAGTTATGATTAAACAAAGTAAACATTAGTCGCTCATCCCAGCTCAGACATGATCATAGCAATTATTTCCAAATCCGTGTCGGGTCCCACGAGAACAGGGCACGGCCACAAACTCTCAGATTGAAGAAGTCGCTGCTTTGCCATCGAATGGTTTCGTAGCTGCTGTAGTTGCTTCTGTTACTGTTATATACGCAGCATGTTGGTGTCCCGTGATGGGATGACGTCTTTGATCAAAAACTATGATCGAACCTACCAGACCAACGCCATCGATCGACGTCTTGGATATACTCTCACATTGTAAATTCTCACACTGTGAACTTTAACATTATGAACTTCAACAATGGTAACTTAAAAACATTCACATATACATTTGAAGAATCTTCAAATTACTGTAAACTAGTATGTGAACTCTAACAATATAACCTATGAGCTATACATTATAACGCTATACAATAACATTATTAACTAGTGTTATAGATTACAACAACCTACCTTGAAGTGTGATTTTCGAATCGCATTCGAATTATTCGAATCACTCCGTGGTCCTCTTCGAATCACACTACAGTCGTAAGTATGTAACATGTATGTATGGAACATATCTGTTTGTAGTAAGTATATGTGCATGTAACATGTATGCATGTAACATGTATGTATGTAACATGGTACATGCATGTATGTAACATGTATGTATGTAATATGGACGTGCGAACCAAGGATGTGATATGTGAAACGGAAGGTGCAGGATCAGGATGGGATTAAAATTACTTGATTAACACTTTGGTGGTATTAGGATCAAGCTGTCCACTGCGGGATGAATGTTCCATCTCAATGGAATCAAATAACAATATTCAGTATGAATATGTTCAATAATCGCACAAACCCAATATTAGCCCGTGAAATTATGAATCGTTGCAATTGTAATGACTTGTTTGATAAAAGTATTTGATCAAAGTTTGTTATCCCATCACGGAACACCACTGGAACTGAAGCATATTAAGCAGCAACAGCAGCAACAACAGCAGCAGCAGCAGCAACAGCAGAAGCAGCAGCAACTGCAGCAGCAGCAGAAACTGCAGCAGCAGCAGCAACTGCAGCAGCAGCAACTACAGCAACAGCAGCAACTGCAGCAGCAGCAACTGCAGCAACTGCAGCAGCAGCAACTGCAGCAGCAGCAACTGCAGCAACACCAGTCTGACATTAACCGGCAACGTCTTGGCTGTCTCCACCATCAAGATGTGTTCCTAGAGGGGAAAGGTCCCTGTTATAAATAGTTTAGCAACGTTCCTTTCGCTAATTCCGAAGTATACTGGAGATCACTTGTACTCTAAAACATGTAAACTGTAACGCTTTAAAGAGAGCATTAAACATTAAACGAATATAAACAAGTTTAAGCGGAGACCATGTACCAGATCGGATTTTGGTTACTGATGTTAGAGTGATTGTATTGCAAGCGTCTGTACGTGCTCACTCCCGAAGCTTGGCGGTTTTTGGCAACGCCACGGGGCTGCATTCACTTTAAATCGAGGACAATGGAGGGCATGGCGAACGTGTTTATCCATTTATTCAAAATAAGCGCACAATTACACACTGAGATGCACTTACATATTCATGCATGAAGCACAATGGGCACATTACTCTTCGGTATGTTAATAGACATGCGGATTGTACCTTCCAAAATTAACAATCGAATGCAAATATCCTGAAAGACAAAGGATTGGATCCTAGGGGGGGAGTTATAAGGCGGCTCAGAAGCAGAGCTCAATGCCATTTCGAGAGGGAACTTGATGAGGTTGGACGCTCGACTCGTCGCTCTGCTGATCGCCCTTCAACCGCGAGACAACGCAGCCAGGCGAGCACAATTGCTGTGTCGACAGTTAGGCGACTTTGCGTCGGGAGAGTTCGTGGCGACATCTTCAGACGGGTTCCAGACATCGATATACCGTGAATCTCCAAGTAAGTGTCTATTTTCGCGGATAAACTCTTAAACGTGTTCGTCGTTAAATTAGCGGGATTTTTTTGCGTCTCGGTTAGACGCGAGTGTCGTTCTTGTTTTAGCAGTTAACAAAATCCAAAACTCGACGCTAAACATCCTTGCGGCCGATAGCGTACTTTTGACTCGATAACACCGCTGCTGTTACTAAGCTCACATGGAGCAGAGACGCTCTCCACAGCCCCACGCACACGGAGACAAGAAGCCATTCAATTGCTCTGTGTGTGGGAAGGCATTTGCACAATCGTCAACTCTTCAAACTCATCAGAGAACGCACACGGGCGAGAAGCCATTCCTGTGTCCTGTGTGTGGGAAGGCATTTGCACGGTCATCAACTCTTCAAACTCATCAGAGAATGCACACGGGCGAGAAGCCATTCCTGTGCCCTGTGTGTGGGAAGGCATTTGCAGACTCATCAACTCTTCATAGTCATCAGAGAACACACACGGGCGAGAAGCCATTCCTGTGCCCTGTGTGTGGGAAGGCATTTGCAGACTCATCAACTCTTAATAGTCATCAGAGAACACACACGGGCGAGAAGCCATTCCTGTGCCCTGTGTGTGGGAAGACATTTGCAAAGTCATCAAATCTTCATAGTCATCAGAGAACACACACGGGCGAGAAGCCATTCCTGTGCCCTGTGTGTGGGAAGGCATTTGCAGACTCATCAACTCTTCATAGTCATCAGAGAACACACACGGGCGAGAAGCCATTCCTGTGCCCGGTGTGTGGGAAGACATTTTCCAAGTCATCAAATCTTCATAGTCATCAGAGAACACACACGGGCGAGAAGCCATTCCTGTGCCCTGTGTGTGGGAAGACATTTGCAGACTCATCAACCAGGAACAGGCATCAGAAGGTCCACAATGATAGGAAACTGAAATCAAAAGCTGAAATTCAAGGTTCTGCAATGAGTTCTAAAGAAGTTTCCACCTTCGATCCCATGCAGTTGGATCCCGAGAGATGGCTGGATGTAATGGAGTGGCTCGAGAGTCAACCAGAGAGCTCGGAGTGACTGAAAAAAATTACGTCATGTGGTTATACCTTTTAATCCGTATCGAGTACTTTTGTGTGTAATTTTGACGATTTTTGTTTTACAGTTTTTGTGAGTTTAATGACGTGCCCAGTGGTGGTTTGTAATGTTATCGGATTACTTGCCGAAGTGGTGTGATGAGTACTGGTTGTGAGAGGGTTCATTTGTAGTCGTTAAGTGTTCCTGTTGAGCTAAAGTTGGAAAGCCTCTATAATTAGATCTTTTCTCAACATTTTAAAAGGATTTTTTTCAAGTATATGGCTTTTTTTGGTTGGTATTCATCGACTCTCATAACCGATTCCAGGATGTACATTGATGACACGTTCGTTGGATATATGGCCTTGACTTCAACATAGACGCACAGTGAACAAATGTGGTGAACTAATAAGGAAATCATGGGGAATGATACTTTAACGCTTTGGTATTCCTGGAACGGAAATGGTTTGCATTGTACTGGAAATGTGTGAACATAGGACATAATAAATATTCCCTTCGAGTTTTGACGTAAAAATGATTGCAGATGAATAAAAACGTATTTTTAACAAATGTTTGTCCGTTCTTTATTTTATAATGTTCCTAGCAAAAACATGTTAAGATAATTTCAGGTGGAGGATCTCCGTCACACAAGTGTGCCCTTAACCGGCAGCATCTTAGCTGTCTACCCTATTAACACGTGTTCCTTGAGGGGAAAGGCCCCCGTAGTTAATCGTTCATCAACGTACCAGTCCCAAATCCCGAAGTATGTCGGGGATAAACTGTACTCTATAACATGTAAACTGTTATACTATACACGATAACACTAAACATTAAACAATTATAAACTAGTGTTTTAAATTATAACCATATAAACGTAGGTAAGGTATTATAATATCATCAGAAGCATTATAATCACAGTGTGGTTGTATAATAATCGCACTCTGCTCATGTAACACTCAAGTGACAGAACTCAACAAAAAAACGCCGCAATAAAAATAACAACATCTATGGACAAATCCTAAAAACAGACAACACACGCACGTTAGTAGCTGTTAGCAGAAGACAACACCGAGCACCTTCAACTATACACATCATACAGCCAACTCGTAAATGGGGCGGTATATGACAGCCTTCGCTGCTGTCGACGGAGCCAAGCAGCGAATGTTTAACTCCATTGTTTCAGAATCCGTGTCATCACCCGGCCACAGCGCCTTAGCCAAACTACATCTCCACAACAAGGCAGCATTCCCTATGCTGTGTATTTTAGCAATATATTTACGGACGCACTTGAAAATAACAATTCGTCTAGAAAAGGCAGGCGACTTGTTCTACCAACACGATATCAAATTTCTATCCGAAAGAAGTATGAGTTCATTCATGAGTAGTATTCACTAAGCCCCGATAGCACTAACCTACACACAGTTATGATTAAACAAAGTAAACATTAGTCGCTCATCCCAGCTCAGACATGATCATAGCAATTATTTCCAAATCCTTGTCGGGTCCCACGAGAACAGGGCACGGCCACAAACTCTCAGATTGAAGAAGTCGCTGCTTTGCCATCGAATGGTTTCGTAGCTGCTGTAGTTGCTTCTGTTACTGTTATATACGCAGCATGTTGGTGTCCCGTGATGGGATGACGTCTTTGATCAAAAACTATGATCGAACCTACCAGACCAACGCCATCGATCGACGTCTTGGATATACTCTCACATTGTAAATTCTCACACTGTGAACTTTAACATTATGAACTTCAACAATGGTAACTTAAAAACATTCACATATACATTTGAAGAATCTTCAAATTACTGTAAACTAGTATGTGAACTCTAACAATATAACCTATGAGCTATACATTATAACGCTATACAATAACATTATTAACTAGTGTTATAGATTACAACAACCTACCTTGAAGTGTGATTTTCGAATCGCATTCGAATTATTCGAATCACTCCGTGGTCCTCTTCGAATCACACTACAGTCGTAAGTATGTAACATGTATGTATGGAACATATCTGTTTGTAGTAAGTATATGTGCATGTAACATGTATGCATGTAACATGTATGTATGTAACATGGTACATGCATGTATGTAACATGTATGTATGTAATATGGACGTGCGAACCAAGGATGTGATATGTGAAACGGAAGGTGCAGGATCAGGATGGGATTAAAATTACTTGATTAACACTTTGGTGGTATTAGGATCAAGCTGTCCACTGCGGGATGAATGTTCCATCTCAATGGAATCAAATAACAATATTCAGTATGAATATGTTCAATAATCGCACAAACCCAATATTAGCCCGTGAAATTATGAATCGTTGCAATTGTAATGACTTGTTTGATAAAAGTATTTGATCAAAGTTTGTTATCCCATCACGGAACACCACTGGAACTGAAGCATATTAAGCAGCAACAGCAGCAACAACAGCAGCAGCAGCAGCAACAGCAGAAGCAGCAGCAACTGCAGCAGCAGCAGAAACTGCAGCAGCAGCAGCAACTGCAGCAGCAGCAACTACAGCAACAGCAGCAACTGCAGCAGCAGCAACTGCAGCAACTGCAGCAGCAGCAACTGCAGCAGCAGCAACTGCAGCAACACAAGTCTGACATTAACCGGCAACGTCTTGGCTGTCTCCACCATCAAGATGTGTTCCTAGAGGGGAAAGGTCCCTGTTATAAATAGTTTAGCAACGTTCCTTTCGCTAATTCCGAAGTATACTGGAGATCACTTGTACTCTAAAACATGTAAACTGTAACGCTTTAAAGAGAGCATTAAACATTAAACGAATATAAACAAGTTTAAGCGGAGACCATGTACCAGATCGGATTTTGGTTACTGATGTTAGAGTGATTGTATTGCAAGCGTCTGTACGTGCTCACTCCCGAAGCTTGGCGGTTTTTGGCAACGCCACGGGGCTGCATTCACTTTAAATCGAGGACAATGGAGGGCATGGCGAACGTGTTTATCCATTTATTCAAAATAAGCGCACAATTACACACTGAGATGCACTTACATATTCATGCATGAAGCACAATGGGCACATTACTCTTCGGTATGTTAATAGACATGCGGATTGTACCTTCCAAAATTAACAATCGAATGCAAATATCCTGAAAGACAAAGGATTGGATCCTAGGGGGGGAGTTATAAGGCGGCTCAGAAGCAGAGCTCAATGCCATTTCGAGAGGGAACTTGATGAGGTTGGACGCTCGACTCGTCGCTCTGCTGATCGCCCTTCAACCGCGAGACAACGCAGCCAGGCGAGCACAATTGCTGTGTCGACAGTTAGGCGACTTTGCGTCGGGAGAGTTCGTGGCGACATCTTCAGACGGGTTCCAGACATCGATATACCGTGAATCTCCAAGTAAGTGTCTATTTTCGCGGATAAACTCTTAAACGTGTTCGTCGTTAAATTAGCGGGATTTTTTTGCGTCTCGGTTAGACGCGAGTGTCGTTCTTGTTTTAGCAGTTAACAAAATCCAAAACTCGACGCTAAACATCCTTGCGGCCGATAGCGTACTTTTGACTCGATAACACCGCTGCTGTTACTAAGCTCACATGGAGCAGAGACGCTCTCCACAGCCCCACGCACACGGAGACAAGAAGCCATTCAATTGCTCTGTGTGTGGGAAGGCATTTGCACAATCGTCAACTCTTCAAACTCATCAGAGAACGCACACGGGCGAGAAGCCATTCCTGTGTCCTGTGTGTGGGAAGGCATTTGCACGGTCATCAACTCTTCAAACTCATCAGAGAATGCACACGGGCGAGAAGCCATTCCTGTGCCCTGTGTGTGGGAAGGCATTTGCAGACTCATCAACTCTTCATAGTCATCAGAGAACACACACGGGCGAGAAGCCATTCCTGTGCCCTGTGTGTGGGAAGGCATTTGCAGACTCATCAACTCTTAATAGTCATCAGAGAACACACACGGGCGAGAAGCCATTCCTGTGCCCTGTGTGTGGGAAGACATTTGCAAAGTCATCAAATCTTCATAGTCATCAGAGAACACACACGGGCGAGAAGCCATTCCTGTGCCCTGTGTGTGGGAAGGCATTTGCAGACTCATCAACTCTTCATAGTCATCAGAGAACACACACGGGCGAGAAGCCATTCCTGTGCCCGGTGTGTGGGAAGACATTTTCCAAGTCATCAAATCTTCATAGTCATCAGAGAACACACACGGGCGAGAAGCCATTCCTGTGCCCTGTGTGTGGGAAGACATTTGCAGACTCATCAACCAGGAACAGGCATCAGAAGGTCCACAATGATAGGAAACTGAAATCAAAAGCTGAAATTCAAGGTTCTGCAATGAGTTCTAAAGAAGTTTCCACCTTCGATCCCATGCAGTTGGATCCCGAGAGATGGCTGGATGTAATGGAGTGGCTCGAGAGTCAACCAGAGAGCTCGGAGTGACTGAAAAAAATTACGTCATGTGGTTATACCTTTTAATCCGTATCGAGTACTTTTGTGTGTAATTTTGACGATTTTTGTTTTACAGTTTTTGTGAGTTTAATGACGTGCCCAGTGGTGGTTTGTAATGTTATCGGATTACTTGCCGAAGTGGTGTGATGAGTACTGGTTGTGAGAGGGTTCATTTGTAGTCGTTAAGTGTTCCTGTTGAGCTAAAGTTGGAAAGCCTCTATAATTAGATCTTTTCTCAACATTTTAAAAGGATTTTTTTCAAGTATATGGCTTTTTTTGGTTGGTATTCATCGACTCTCATAACCGATTCCAGGATGTACATTGATGACACGTTCGTTGGATATATGGCCTTGACTTCAACATAGACGCACAGTGAACAAATGTGGTGAACTAATAAGGAAATCATGGGGAATGATACTTTAACGCTTTGGTATTCCTGGAACGGAAATGGTTTGCATTGTACTGGAAATGTGTGAACATAGGACATAATAAATATTCCCTTCGAGTTTTGACGTAAAAATGATTGCAGATGAATAAAAACGTATTTTTAACAAATGTTTGTCCGTTCTTTATTTTATAATGTTCCTAGCAAAAACATGTTAAGATAATTTCAGGTGGAGGATCTCCGTCACACAAGTGTGCCCTTAACCGGCAGCATCTTAGCTGTCTACCCTATTAACACGTGTTCCTTGAGGGGAAAGGCCCCCGTAGTTAATCGTTCATCAACGTACCAGTCCCAAATCCCGAAGTATGTCGGGGATAAACTGTACTCTATAACATGTAAACTGTTATACTATACACGATAACACTAAACATTAAACAATTATAAACTAGTGTTTTAAATTATAACCATATAAACGTAGGTAAGGTATTATAATATCATCAGAAGCATTATAATCACAGTGTGGTTGTATAATAATCGCACTCTGCTCATGTAACACTCAAGTGACAAAACTCAACAAAAAAACGCCGCAATAAAAAGAACAACATCTATGGACAAATCCTAAAAACAGACAACACACGCACGTTAGTAGCTGTTAGCAGAAGACAACACCGAGCACCTTCAACTATACACATCATACAGCCAACTCGTAAATGGGGCGGTATATGACAGCCTTCGCTGCTGTCGACGGAGCCAAGCAGCGAATGTTTAACTCCATTGTTTCAGAATCCGTGTCATCACCCGGCCACAGCGCCTTAGCCAAACTACATCTCCACAACAAGGCAGCCTTCCCTATGCTGTGTATTTTAGCAGTATATTTACTGACGCACTTGAAGATAACAATTAGTCTAGAAATGGCAGCCGACTTGTTCTACCAACATGATTTCAATTTATATCCGAAAGAAGTATGAGTTCATTCATGAGTAGTATTCACTAAGCCCCGATAGCACTAACCTACACACAGTTATGATTAAACAAAGTAAAAATTAGTCGCTCATCCCAGCTCAGACATGTTCATAGCAATTATTTCCAAATCCTTGTCGGGTCCCACGAGAACAGGGGGCCTCGCTCGCGTGGCGACAGCGATCGCCTCACTCCTCCGCCGCGTGCTGCTTTGTGGTGGCAGGTCCACCGCCCAGTAGGGGTGGTGGCGGTGGTCGTGCATCGGTGCCAACCGTGACCGCTATCACCACACTACCCACTCACCCCGTGCTACTCGCTACACACACCACACGGTTCCCCAGAGAGACGGTGCCACTGGGACCACAGCTGGGGAATGAAGCTGAGCAGCAGATGCCAGGACTACAGCGGAGAATGACTGCTGCGGGCGCAGCCAATGACATCGCCTGTTGCAATCCTTGCTCTGTGGGCGCGCGAGTCAGTGGGAGGGGGGTGTGGACGTCATTGCTCACCCCCCATGCACAAATCATTTTCTTTTTAACTCCTCTATACCCGGTCAATATCCCTGTACCGGTATTAGTATTATTCCTACCAGCCCACCCCGCAGGGTCCTGTTTTCAAATACGTATTTAAAAATATGTTTTCAATTTTTTAAAAATTTAGAATGTCGTTGTCCATGTGGGGAGCGCAGTGGATCGTTTCGTCTAAGCTGCTTTTCGGAATCCGCGTGATAACCCAGTCACATCGCCTAACTCCAGTCAAAGCACCTTACCCAAGCTACATCTCCCCAACAAGGCAGCCTTCCCGCTGCTGTGCATTGTGTTTATGGGATAACAGAGGTGTGTATTATCCCATACGCCTTGACCAAAACGACTGATTATCCGCTTAACACCATAGCCCGTAAAACACTATTGGAGACAGTGTTGTTTGAGAGCAGCTATTAAAGTCGAGTGTGGTCACTACGCGTCTGTACGTGCTCCCTCCCGAAGCTTGGCGGTTTTTGGCAACGCCACGGGGCTGCATTCACTTTAAATTGAGGACAACGGAGGGCATGGCGAACGTGTTTATCCATTTATTCAAAATTTGTTGTTGATAATAATTCGTCTGGACATGGCACGTGCCTTATTCTACTCGATTAACCAAAATTAGTACAATGCCATACAGTAGTGTGATTTCATTCATGAGTAGTATTCATAGAGCCCCAATGACACTAACCTACCTAAAGTTATGGTTAAAAAAGTAATCTTGAGTGACTTAATTCTCAGCTCAGACATGATCATCGCAATCATTTCCAAAGACGTGTGGGGTCCTGCGAGAGCAGGTCCCGACTACAAACAGCTGGGCAGCAGAATCGGAAGTAGCTGCGTCGCCCTCGAAATGTGATGTTGCTGCTGTTGTTGTCGCTGCTATTGTTGCTGCTGTAGTTACTTCTGTTGCTGTGATAAACGCAGGGAGGTGGTGTTCCGTGATGGGATGACGCCTTTGATTAAAGCCTCTGTTCTGATCGTCGCATTTGATCAACTCTGATATTGTAGACTCTCACATGTTAAGCTCTATCATAGTGAAACATAATATTATAACCTATGAACTACAACCTATCCATTGTAACGCTGTAAAAGAATATTACCTATTGGGTTTCACTCCCTCGTCGAGAAGGCCGCTCTCTTCCTTTTCTAAAGTTACATGCTAATTTCTCTGCATTCACTTTAAATCGAGGACAAAGTTTTTCCATTTATTCAAAATAAGCGCACAATTACACACTGAGATGCACTTACATATTCATGTATGTTAATCTACATGCGGATTGTACCTTCCAAAATTAACAATCGAATGCAAATATCCTGAAAGACAAAGGTTTTGATCCTAGGCGGGGAGTTATAAGGCGGCTCAGAAGCAGAGCTCAATGCCATTTCGAGAGGGAACTTGATGAGGTTGGACGCTCGACTCGTCGCTCTGCTGATCGCCCTTCAACCGCGAGACAACGCAGCCTGGCGAGCACTTTTGCTGTGTCGACAGTTAGGCGACTTTGCGTCGGGAGAGTTCGTGGCGACATCTTCAGACGGGTTCTAGACATCGATATACCGTGAATCTCCAAGTAGGTGTCTATTTTCGCGGATAAACTCTTAAACGTGTTCGTCGTCAAATTAGCGGGATTTTTTTGCGTCTCGGTTAGACGCGAGTGTCGTTCTTGTTTTAGCTGTTAACAAAATCCAAAACTCAACGCTAAACATCCTTGCGGCCGATAGCGTACTTTTGACTCGATAACACCGCTGCTGTTACTTCGCTCACATGGAGCAGAGACGCTCTCCACAGCCCCACGTACACGGAGGCAAGAAGCCATGCAATTGCTCTGTGTGTGGGAAGACATTTTCATGGCCATCACATCTTCAGAGACACCAGAGAACACACACGGGCGAGAAGCCGTTCATGTGCCCTGTGTGTGGGAAGACATTTGCACATTCATCACATCTTCAGAGTCACCAGAGAACACACACGGGCGAGAAGCCTTTCCTGTGCCCTGTGTGTGGGAAGACATTTGCACAGTCATCACATCTTCAGAGTCACCAGAGAACACACACTGGCGAGAAGCCGTTTCTGTGCTCTGTGTGTGGGAAGACATTTGCACACTCATCACATCTTCAGAGTCACCAGAGAACACACACCGGCGAGAAGCCATTCCTGTGCCCTGTGTGTGGAAAGGCATTTGCACACTCGTCAACTTGTCAAGACCATCAGAGAACACATACGGGCAAGAAGCCATTCCTGTGCTCTGTGTGTAGGAAGACATTTGCAAAGTCATCACATCTTCAAAGTCACCAGAGAACACACACGGGTGAGAAGCCATTCTTGTGCTCTGTGTGTGGGAAGGCATTTGCACGGTCATCAACCATGAACATGCATCAGAAGGTCCACAATGATAGGAAACTGAAATCAAAAGCTGAAATTCAAGGTGCTGCAATTGGTCCTGAAGAAGTTTCCACATTCGATCCCATGCAGTTGGATCCCGAGAGGTGGCTGGATGTAATGGAGTGGCTCGAGAGTCAACCAGAGAGCTCGGAGTGACTGAAAAAATATTATGTCATGTGGTTATACCTATTAAGCCGTATCGAGTACTTTTTGGTTATAATTTTGACCATTTACAGTTTTTGACGTGCACAGTGGTGGTTTGTAATGTTATCGGATTACTTGCCGAAGTGGTGTGATGAGCACTGGTTGTGAGACTGTTCAATTGTAGTCGTTAAGTGTTCCTGTTGAGCTAAAGTTGGAATGCGTATGTAGGTACATCTTTACTCAACATTTTAAACGTTTTTTTTCAAGTATAAAGCTTTTTTTATTGGTATTAATCAACTTTAGATAGCCGATTTCAGGATGTACATTGATGACGCGTTCGTTGGATATATGGCCTTGACTTCAACATAGACCCACAGTGAACAAATGTGGTGAACTAATAAGGAAATCATGGGGAATGATCCTTTAACGCTTTGGTATTCCTGGAACGGAAATGATTTGCATTGTACTGGAAATGTGTGAACATAGGACATAATAAATATTCCCTTCGAGTTTTGACGTAAAAATTATTGCAGATGAATAAAAACGTATTTTTAACACATGTTTGTCCGGTCTTTATTTTATAATGTTCCTAGCAAAAACATGTTAAGCGAGTTTCAGGTGGAGGATCTCCGTCACACAAGTGTGCCCTTAACCGGCAGCATCTTGGCTGTCTACCCGATGAACAAGTGTTCCTTGAGGGGAAAGGTACCCGTAGTGAATCGTTCCCGAAGTATGTCGGGGATAAACTGTACTCTATAACATGTAAACTGTAATACTATAAACGATAACACCAAACATTATGAATCGTTACATGCACGTTAGTAGCTGTTAGAAGAAAACAACACCTAGCACCTTCAACTATACACATACAGCCCCAAAGAGCGGTATATGACAGCCTTCGCTGCTGTCGACGGGGCCAAGCAGCGAGTGTTTAACTCCATTGTTTCATCACCAGGCCACAGCGTCTTAGCCAAACTACATCTCCCCAACCAGGCAGCCTTCCCTATGCTGTGTATTTTAGCAGTATATTTACGGACGCACTTGAAGATAACAATTCGAGTAGAAAAGGCAGGCGACTTGTTCTACCAACACGATTTAAAATTTATATCCGAAAGAAATATGAGTTAATTCATGAGTAGTATTCACTAAGCCCCGATTGCACTTACCTACACACAGTTATGATCAAAGTAAACATTAGTCGCTCATCCCAGCTCAGACATGATCATAGCAATTATTTCCAAATCCGTGTCGGGTCCCACGAGAACAGGGCACGTCCACAAACTTTCAAATTGTAAACTCACATTGCATACTCTAACATTATAAACTCGAACAATATATCCTTTAAACTATGAGCTATACATTGTAACGCTTTAAAATAACACTACAAACTAGTGTTATAGTAAACTATAATGTTGTGAACTCTAACAATATAAGCTATGAGCTATACATTATAACGCTATAAAATAACAATAAACTGGTGTTAAAGATTAGAACACCGTACATTGAAGTGTGATATTTGAATTCGAATTCTTAGCTTCACACCGTGGTCCTCTAGGAATCACAATTTGCTCGTCAGTATGTAACATGTCTGTATGTAATGTATGCATGAGATATGTCTGTATGTAATATGTATGCATGTAACATCTTAAACAACTACGCTGGTTTGGTCGTCTGCGTGCGTATCTGGACGTTAATTTATGCACGGACCCGCCCAAACAGCTAGCTCTGATTCGTCGATAAAAATTAATAAAACAGCCGGCAAAAAGCCACAGCTCACTTTCATTCGACAAATATAAATAAATAAACCTGCCGCACAACAGCGTCTCTTCGGTCAACAATTGCACCTACTTTCACGCAACACCATATTTAGAGTGATGGTCGCAACGCAAAATCTACTGTGGGTACAGTGTTGCTGTTGCACCCGCCGAACACTGCGTCCTGGTGGCGATATCTCCCCAACGAAGAACGTCCGCGGGTGCAACCAAGAACCCTCCACTAATCAGATAGCCACATACATTTTCAATTCCAGAACTTTCAATAAAATCTGTTCATTATTGGTGGGGTTCGGTTCGACGGCCCAGTGGACATAACTGACCACTCTTTCGTACGCAGCTCCATCAATATTGCGCCCATTCCCTTAAAACCACTGTGCTTAATCTTTCATTGGGCCCAAACAAGTGTGTGCAAAGTGGCCCTGCACAGTTCCCCGCCCTACATATCAAACCAGCGCTCGAGAAATTCTGTCGGTGTCGCCTTCAATCTCATTGGACTAATTAATTATCCCTTACATTGAATTGCCTCAAAGTGGCCTGCGTGCTTTGTGGCGGCAGCACGCGTCAGTCAGTCGTCCATTTCCAAACAAGCAGAAGCACACAGAAGGTAAGCGCTGTGTGATAGCATAGGTCTGCCAAGGTCTGCGCCGCAGTGCTGCAGTGCACTGTGGGCGCAGACCCTGCGCTGTGTGAGTGTGGTGTGTATGCAAGTGTGCAAATGGTTGTTACGGTTATATACATATATTTACGTATATACGTATTTTTCTGTAAAAATGGGTGCTGCGTGCTGCGATTAGTGGAGTCCCCAAACAACTTTACCTTACGAGTAGGCAGGGGTCGCTATATGGTGAGTCTTAGCGGACTGAGCTACCAGCTTCACCTGCCGGGACCACGGCCAGTTGCGTAGCGCACCCCTACAGTTTCGGGACTTTCGCCCATGGCTCAATACCCCCATGGGGCAACCCAGCTCACTGTTTGATGGGTACAATGGTTACTTTTCGCTTCATCCGGCTTATTACCATTTAGATGTATTGACCTTGATCACGTCTCCATGGACGGCATAACACCGACAAATAAAATTTTCGAAATAAAAAAACAGCTGGCCCCATAGCGGATCTGTGTGTGTACATACAGACGGAGGATGCAGGGACCAACCTGTGTGCGACCGGAACGGTGCCATTGCTGACCAATGTCACTGTGGCTGGCGCACACGCTCACGCACACCGGAGCTGTGTCTTTGCAATGCAAGGGCATGGTGGATGGTGGAGCGCATATCGATGCTGCGTTACGACTTAAATCACAAAAAACAAACCGCTGCATCTGTAAGTGTGCCAGTGTGCGCTTATGGTGGATAGTGGTGCGTGCGGAAGTGAGGGTCATCTTTGGGTAAAAAAAAAACACTCTGAACACGCAAGAACATAGCTGGCGGTCGCGTAGGGACTTGGTAGCGAGCAGGATAGAGGCACTGTGTCTATTATATTTGTCGTCACAACGTTTGTGCGTCAGTCGGGGGGACTTTATCTGACAGTACCCGTGTGCAACAGTACAGCGAGATATATTGTACAGTGCTTCAGATGTCATGGACTGAGAGGCAACGCGCTTTGCATAGGCTTTCTGTCTAACGGGTCACGTTTGTGTACGCAGACTTCCAGATATCTGACGACAGGCACCACGATGACTACAAGCCGTGGTCGTGGAACGCGGAAAGGGTGCCTAAGCTGCTCAACTATTTCATACTCACCCTCACCTAGGATAATGATTCATCCAAATCCCTATAGCAAGCGAAACAGAGACACACGAGAGGAGCTCGAGGACGCTTTGCACGAAAACCAAATCGTACATGCAACTCCTGCCGCCACCGAGCCCAAGGAGGTCAAAGATCGTCGCCGCAATCGCCGCCGAATGAAGCGATTTCGGTTGAATACGCCAAAGTGAGAGCTTTACTTGGGGAATGCTATCGATGAAGGGCGCATAGAAACCAACGCTGGCAACGACGCAATGGATCAACCAAGTGATATGCAAGATGTCCTCATGGACGTACACGATCATGTCATTTCTCCCGGCGACTTCCACGTGGATCTTGAGGAAGGTAAGCAAGAAGAAGACGACCCTCACTTTGTCATTGCTCGAGCCGCGGCGCGGGAGGATCCACAACTCACACTAGGCCTTCAGGAGTTGCGTCGCCTAAAGCGACGTGCTGAGCAATCTCCGTTTCAACAAGATGCTGAGCGAGCACATCGCGCTGCGCTGGAGGCCCGGCGTCGTTCGAGAATGACTGCCGAGCGACTACTGCATGAACGATATCGTCGCAGTGAATCGGAAGCTGAGCGGCGCCGAAGGTTGACGGAACAGCAGCAAGACGAAGAACGACGTCGCCACAGTGTGCTGGAAGCAGAGCGCCGCGGGAGGTTGACAGAAGAACAGCAGGAGGAAGCGCGTCGACGCCATGCTGAGCTGGAAGCTGAACGTCTCGCCAGGATGATGGAAGAACAACAAGAGGAGATGCGACAGCGCCAGTCCCAACGGAAAATGGAGAGGACAGAAAACGAAGTCGAGGAGACGCTGGAACAGCGACGCGTTCAACGGCGGACCAAGCGCTACAAGGACGCCCTCGCCAACCAAGACGAGTTTGAAGTCTCGAGAGTTTCGGGGAAGAATGTCATCGCAGGAAGACACAAACTACCAGAGCCAACTTCCGTTTGCTCGAAGTGTCGAGCATGGAAGTGGCCGGGCGAGTCTTCGATCACATGCTGCATTGACGGCAAGGTCGCTCTTCCGCCACTCCAGCCTGCACCGGCCATTCTACGCAAGTGGTACCAAGATGAAGAGTTTCGGAAGCAGATACGCATGTACAATCAAGTGTTTGCATTTACGTCGCTTGGTGCGTCTTTCAGCAATCGCCGCTTCGACCCAGTAGCGGAAGAACAAAGTGTCCAAGGGCAGAGAGGCGTGTATACATACCGTATCCAAGGAGCGATGGGCCATTTCTTGGGATCTTTGTTACCATATACGGATCAAGCCGGTCAGACAACGAAGCCC